CCCCCCCCCTCCCGCCAAACGTGTAACTTTCATCCTTCTGCTGCAGATCTTGGGGACCAGTCCAGTCCCCTGTCTGTCTGTCTGTCTGATGTCTGTGTGGTCCCCTCAGGATAATTGCTCTGGACAACTCTAACACCACTCAGACAGATTGGCTGGCCTCCTGGCCCGACATTTCCCACCACTGCATCAAGCCAAATTACTCAGCCCCCCCAGCCCCAGGCTCTGGTGAAATCCGATTAGCAAGGAGAGAGCTGCGCTGAGCTGACAGCTCCTCCAATAATTGCTTCCCAAGTAAGCGATGCAAATCAGCCCATCCAGCCTGTCCCTGCTCCTCCTGGGAACCCAGGCATCCAGGCCCCAGGAGAGGGAGAACAACTGAGTTGGGGAGACTTGGAAGCTGTCACCTGCCTCCAGTTTAGTGGCCATCAATCCTTAAAGCTCCCCTGTGCTGTCTTGGGGTTGGAGATGGGGGTGTTGGGATGGTGGGGCTGGACGAGGGACCCCACTAGCTCTGTATTTCTGTCTTAACTGAGAGAGTGTCATTCTTCCCCTCACTCTCACCCCTTGGAGGAGAATCCTGTGTACCCATTTCCCAGCAAGGTAGATGAAGGCAGAGATACAGAAGATACAGAAACAGGAAGTTGGCTGAACCTAAGGAACAAATGAATGAATTCACAGCCTGGCTCTCCTGGTTTTATAATTCTAGGAGGGAGGTGGGAATGGGACCTGTAGGACCTTCAGAGAGTTTTCTCCATTTGTGAGTCCCCTCTTCACCAGGCTGGGGGAAAGACTTTGAGGGTTAAGTCCCCACAGAGCTGGGATGGGGCTGTAATACCTTATATCTTGGAAAGCTTGGAGAGCCTGATCAAAGCTTGAGACTTTGTGCCTGTACTTGGATGCAGTGGCCATCAGGGACCTCTCTCCACTTTCCTAAATTAGGTTTTTTTACAGGCCTGTTCATGCTTCTTCCTTAACCCTTTTCCATCCTATATCTTTAAAAAATTTTTTTTATCCTCACCTGAGGATATTTAAGAGAGAGAGAGAATCATTGATGTGAGAGAGACACATAGACTGGTTGCCTCCCACATGTGCTCTGACCAGGGCAGGGGATCAAGCCTGCAACCAAGGTACGTGCCCTTAGCCAGAATTGAACCTGGGACCCTTCAGTCCACGGGCTGACACTCTAACCACTGAGCCAAACCAGGTAGGGCTCCTTCCTATATCTTTATATCAAGTTCTTCCTTTCTTTGGCTCTGCCATCCCAACTGCTGTTGATCTTGGAGATCTTGAAAGTACTTTCTTTGCAGTCTGGAACTTCCAGCCCCCAATCCTAGTCTGAATAGGTCACTGTCTTTGTAGAAATAGCCAAGGATGAGTTGCCCAGTCTTATCCTCTGTGCCCATGTGTCTGACATGCTCTACAGCCTGGCTCTTGGGGCCTCAGACTGACATCTGCCTGAGAACCTGGCACATGGTCATAACAACTAACAGTATGGAGCAGCAACTCTGTACTAGACACCATACTAAACACATTATGTACTTAAGTCATTTAATTATCACAAAAGAAGACTTGGATTACAATGATTATCCCATTTCACAGCTGAGTTAAGTGAGGCACAAAGAAGTTAAGTAATTTGCCCAAGGTCACCACTAGTAAATTGGAAAAACTGGGATTCACATCCAGGCAGTCTGAGTCCAGAGTCCACACTCTAAAGGCCTCTGCTGTCGCCTCTCCAATGTTCTTTCAGTGTTTATTGGGATGACTAAGAGAGGGTGACTGCCCAATATAGTGGAGCTGGGGGAAAATGGCTATGCTGAAAGTCAAACACGAAAACCTTTGGGGTTCCCCAGGCCAGAGGTGGCAGGAGCTGACAAGGGTGACACCTGGTATTTGGGGAGGGGAAAACATGACCCTCATTTCTCCAACCCCAAATGTCTATTTCTGTGCTGGAGCGGTGCAGCTAGACAACTCCCCCTTCTTACTCTGAGAGCATGGAAGCAGGGGAAGGGCTGAAAGATCAGCCTGGAAGCCTGAGCTGGGAGTCAGAGCTATGACCTCAAGAGGCCGATAGATGGCGCTCATCGCCCAACACTGCACCGCAGCCCAAAGAAACCAAAGGAAAACAAGCTAGCAGGTTAACCCCTTACAGCCTGGGCTCAGGCCCCAGGAGTAGGCTGGTAGGTGGCAGAGGGCTCTGTCCCAGGGCTGGCTGACCCCTAAGGAGTGACCCAATTCTCTAGGCTCTGTCCAAGCCACAGCCTGAGTCTGCTTCTGCTCATGGCCCACAAGGCTCTATCCATAAATCAGCCAGCCAGTCACTTGGAGACTTCCCAGAGGGCCAGGAGTCTAAGACATGGACAAGGCAGGTTGGGAGGCATCCACCTCAGCCCAAGTTCATCTCTCAGGTTCTATCTCTTGAAAGTTTATGGATGTCTGATTCGAAGCAGTAGACACAATGGAGGCATGGAGCGCCTCACTTCCGTCTTCCCTCAGATGGACTCATTAGATAGGGAGGAGTAGCGTGAACTAGAGGCAGAGAATGGCTTCAGGTTCCTCTGGGGTCAGCTATAGGGACGCACTGTGGGTTTCCCAAAACTCAGCTTCTTCCTATCTCTGGGCTCCCTGGGGTGAATGGGCTTAACCAAGTCTTCCAGGAAGTTGAAATTGGGCGTGGGGGTCTTGGGAATCTCCACTTGTCTGTCCCTCATTTCACTCATTCCTCTCTTGTCAGGAGACTTGAAGTGTGCAGGGGCTGCCATGATGAAAAACTGGAAGTGCTTGGCAAGCAAGCGGCAGAAGGGTGGGGTGGGCAGGAGGGTTGTCTAAGGGGTGGTGAGGCTCCTAGAATTCTTAAACAATTGTTCCCCCTTCCACACTAATTTTTGTTAAGACACACACAAGTACATAGATTTAGAGAGACAGAGGAGCCTGAGGGAGGCGTCAGTTCTGGAACCTCAGGGTACTCTTATTTCAGTCATTCCAAAGAAAGAAGCAGAGACAGGGAAATCGATGTACAAAGAGAGAGACAGAGACACACAGATTACAAGAGACAACTAGGGATAGAAATATATTTATATGGGGAGAGAAAGGCAAAAACACAGAGAGGGAGAGACTCTGACACAAATGAAAGCTCAGGAAGTAATGGACTTTGTGAGGTGAATGATTAATTCAGTTTCCAAAGTCTTGAAAGGGTGAGAGTAGTTTCTCACTTTTGGTATCAGAGCATCCCTGCTCACAGTTCCCTGAAGCTCCTGCTGCACCCATTAAATTTTTGTCTGTTGGTAGGAGAGCAGAGGAGGCTTGGGAAGGGGGTAGCATTCTTGTTCTCTCACTTTTTCTTGTGCTGGGTTTATTGGTCTCCTTCCTTACTATCTGCAGGGAGACCTCGCTTCTCCCTGATCTCAGTTATGGCTGTGCGGAAGTGTGCAGGGGATGGGGATGGGAAGAATCTAGAAGATAACTGACTTTAGGGAGGGTTCCAGCCTAATGAAAATCTTATAGTCAGGATACAGAAACAGACCCAGGGGACAAGAACAAAACTAGGAGTGGGACAGTTTTGCACATTAGTATTTGAGGAGGTGATCGGGAATGGACTATTAGGTGCAGCCATGGGATTGGGATGCGTCAGGAAAGGTATGGGGTGGGGGTTGGGAATGATAGGAGATTATAGGGCTTGGCAAATAGCAGGGCAGAGGAGGGAGAGACGTCAAATGGTAAAGCCATGGAGACAAGGGCTGGAAGAGACTCAGAGCCACTATTAAGAGTTTTTAGGAGATTACAGAAGCGCCTCTGTGGATGTTCTATATAGTCCTTGGAGGGCTGCAAAGGAGAGCTCTCTTATACCTGGGCAGCAGGAGGGCTAGAAATGGTCTTTAGCCATTGCTAATATCCTCAGGCGAGTTGAGAGGTTGGGGATGGTTGAAGCTCCTTGATTTACAATCCCTTTGGGGAAAGCGCTGTGGATGAGTTATGGAAGGGTGATGCCCTTTAGGGCTTGAACCCAGGATCTCTGAGATCCTTACAAAGCCTGGCCCTCACCTCTCAAATCTTGATTTAGCCCTGTAGTAAGGAATAAACTACAACGCCCAGAGTCGCTTGGAGCTAAGTTAGCACGCTTTCCGGGGATTTGAGTATTTCCGGCGGAAGTGGTCGCGGCTACGCCAATCTCCTGCCCCATACACCGTGGACTACGATTCCCACTGTCCTCCGCGCCCGGGGGCGGAGAAAAGGAATCGGAAGCCGAATGGGGAGCTGGGCCAGGTGAGGAAGTAGGGGGCCGGGGACCTGGGGTGCCGGAGGCGGACTCGGGGTTCACAGGGCTCCGGGGCGGCGGAGGCGGGGCGTCGCAATGTCTGTGTTTCGGGGTCCCTCGCGCTGTTTGGGGCTCGTCCCGGCGCAGGGAACGCGGAGCCCGTGGAATCGCCCCGGAGGCCTGCGAGGAGGAGGCTTTCTTGTCGCGCGGGGCCCGTGGGCGGACGCAGAGTTTCTTGCGGAGCCTTAGTCTTCTGCCCCTGTGAACCAAGAGCAAGGAGGAGGTGGTATTTTTGAGTCCGTGATCTAGGATTTTTATTATTATTGGTTTAAGGATTTTCTGATTGTCCCTGTGGATTTCTGGAGCGCCCATAAGGGACAGGGGAGTGGAGAATGTCTTCGATTCTTTCTTCACTCCCCGGGTTTAGTGTCAGAAAGCCTCGGTGGCCGGACGTACAGCTGGATCACCCTCCGCTGCCTCTGCACTTAATGTAATATGACACTGTAGTTTGTAAAGTATCTGTGTTTCTTAAGCCTCTGGCTCTTGGTGACTTTAGATAGTACCTCCAAATTCCTCTTTGGGGTTCTTACAGTAATTTGTTCGGGACATTAAAGCTTGAACCACAGTGTATTCCAGTTTTATCTGTCGTCTTAGTGGTTTATGAGCCTGGCCTACATTTTTTTCATTTTGGATTTCTTCCCCACCAAGAGACAGACTGTTACATACCTGTCATGTAAGAGACTCATAAATATTGAAAAAAATAAATGAGTTAACTACTGGTGGTATGTTGGGTGGGATTTCTCATTTTAATTTCCTAGATAGAGTTAAATGACTCATTAAGAGAACCTTCTTAGAGTTGAAACTAGGACTAGAATTTGAGTCAAATACCCAGCCTGTGGCTCTTGCTATCACATTAGGCTTTGAAACCCTGGAACACTGAAAATAAGGCCTTGTCACTTTGTGTACTTCCAGCCTTGCTGACTCCAGCATAGGTCTCTAAAGATCAAAGGTAGGTCCATCTTAAGGCTTGAGGGAGATCCCACATCTGGAGCAACTGATCCACTAATGTTGGTGCTACATGGGGAGATGCAAAGCAAGAGACCCTGATACATTTGAGTTCTCCACAACTTCCTTCTCAGCATGTGTTTGAGCCCAGTTGGCCCTGGGTAGCCACCTGGGTAAATCAATTAAAGACTTCTGAGATCAGTCTGGGGAAGGAGTTCCTTAAGTTTGGCCCCTGATTTTTTTCCCCTTTCTCTCTTTTCCTCCAGGCTAGGCTCAGAGAACAGGTTGATGGATCAAGCTGTTGTGTCAACCCTGAATTCCTATCTTGGTTATCCTTAACCTGGGCAAGGGGTTGAGAGGGAGAAAGAACCATGGTCTACTCTGTGGGAGGTCCAGACGTGATGGAAACATGGGCAGAGCCTGGCAAGTCCTGGGAAGGAAGCAGAGTACAAGTGGGCAGCTGAGCCTTCAGTGAATCAGGATATAGAAGTGGAGAGGAGTCCATGAGGAAAGGCTCCTTGGTAGAAGGTAGTTTTAAACAGGGATGGACAGAGCTGAGCAGGTGTTTGTTGACTTCCTAATAAAAGCTAGGACTTTGGAGATGTGGAGGTAAATTGAACATTGACTGGCCTCTGATCTCAAGTATATTGGGTGGGTATGAGTTCATGAAGAAGACACTAACCATGGTGACACTCAGTGGTTCTCGGCCCTTACCAACCATCAGAAACACCTGGGCAGTTTTTTGAAAATACAGATTCCCAGGTCTTGTGCTAGACCTACTCGTGTGGGGTGGGGCTGGGAAGTTATGGCAAATGCTGCAGTGTGTTGAGGAGGGAGGGCTAGTTTGAGCTGCATCTTAAAGGATGGGTATAATTTGTAGGTGTGGAGAGTGGGGGAGTTACAATCCTGGTTGACTTAAGGAGTGTTTGTAGAAATGGCACATGCAAAGTTTTGAAAGTAGGGGTCAAAAAGGCATTTTGAAAGTGTGGTCAGGCTGGAATACTGGGTTTGCATGGGAGTGGTGAGAAGAAAGATTGGAAGGAATGGCCTTTACAGGTTACAAAGCTTGCTTGAGTACTCCCTCTGCATCCTGTCTTCTTCTTCCCTCTCTTCCCTTCTTCCCTCTCCCCTTTCCTCCCCCACTTACACATAACATCTCATTCTATCTCTTATATTAGTAGTAGTAGTATTTTAAAATATATCTTTATTGGTTTCAGAGAGAGGAAGGGGGAGAGAGAGATAGAAACATCAATGATGAGAGTCATTGATCGTCTGCCTCCAGCATGCCCCCTACTGGGGATGGAGCCAGCAATGTGCCCTGACCGGGAATCAAGCCGCAATCTCCTGAATCACAGTCAATGCTCAACCGCTGAGCCATGCCACCCAGGCAATATTATTTTTAAAATAATTTTTATTTTTCAATTACAGTTGACATACAATATTTGTATTAGTTTCAGGTGTACAACCTAGTGATTAGACATTTATATAACTTACGAAGTAATCACCCTGATAAATCTAGCACCAATCTGACACCATACATAGTTACTACAATATTATTGACTATATTCCCTATGCTGTACTTTACATCCCCATGACTACCAATTTGTACTTAATCCCTTCACCTTTTTCACGCATTCCCCCAACACCCCTCTCATCTGGCAACCATCAAAATGTTCTCTGGCCCAGCCAGGCGTGGCTCAGTGATTGAGCATCGACCTAGGATCCAGGCGATCAGGGTTCGATTCCCTGTCGGGGCACATGCCCGGGTTGCGGGCTGCAGCCGATCAATGACTCTCTCATCATTGATGTTTCTATCTCTCTCTCTCCCTCTCCCTTCCTCTTGCTGAAATCAATAAAGATATATTTAAAAAAAAAATTCTCTGTCTATGAGTCTGTTTCAATTCTGCTTGTTCATTTATTTTGTTTTTTAGATTACATATGTAAGTGAAATGGCCCTTATATCAATATTATTAAGTGGATATTATTATTTTTAGTATTTAGATGAGGGAACCAGAGACTGGCCATGATTACATAACTTGTAAGAGTCTATTCTAATAGAGTCTGGTAGTCATTCCACTCACCACTGAGGATTCTTGAATGTGGGGAGGAAGCTGGACTGGACTGGGAGGTTATAGAATTAGCAACCTCCTGGGAGGCTGGTTGAACCATCTAAGGCAAGATGGTTGGGGTGATTAAGAGCTCAGCCTTGAGTCAGATAGTTTGGCTTCAAATCCCATCTTCCTGACTTGCTAACTGTAACTCTGGGCAAGTTCCTTGATCTTCCTAAGCCTCAGTCTTCTCACCTGTAACATGGGAGCAGTAATACCCACCTCATGGGGTTGTTATGAGTATCGGTGAGGTGTATCTGGCACAGAGCACTTGCTTACCACCTGGAAGCTGTTGTAATTAGCCGTCTGTAATTAGTCTCTGAGCTATGGCTTTGCATGTGCATTTTATTCTTTAGCACATTGGTTTCTAGGACACAGCTCATCCTGGCTGGGCTTGTTTTATTAAGGATGACATTAAAGGTGCTGAAATTTTGCCACCAGTAAATATTGGAAACTGACCATATCTTGGCATGGTCTAGGAACTAGTGACTCAAGACCTATTCCTGATGGAAAGGAGGTTTGGAGTGGGGGATGGTTGGTTATGGGTTATTCTCACCAGGTGATGAATGAAGAGGAAGGATACTAGAAACAGGGAGAGAAGGGGTCCTTTCATTACCAAGAACTGAGATGAGCTCAGTTTTGCCTGGAGGTTGGGGGATGATTGATACAGTCTTTTCTGAGCCCGGGAAATGGTAGGGGGGGCCCTGGCCACTTTGAATCCCTCCCACTCTAGGGCTGAGGGGGCCTCTCTCCATCTCTTTTCCAGGTGAAGGCAACATGGCTGTGCCCCAGGCTTTCCCACTGGGACCCTTCCATGAGCCTGCAGGTGCCCTGGTGGAGCCCCAATCCTCCCCTCGAAGCTTGGCTGAGGGCTTCCTGGAGGAGGAGCTTCGGCTCAATGCTGAGCTGAGCCAACTGCAGTTTTCTGAGCCTGTGGGCATTATCTACAATCCGGTGGAGTATGCCTGGGAGCCACATCGCAGCTACGTGACCCGCTACTGCCAGAGCCCCAAGGAAGTGCTCTTCTTGGGCATGAACCCAGGACCCTATGGCATGGCCCAGACCGGGGTAAAGGGCTTGGCTGCCCGTGGTGGGTGAGGTGGGAGGCTCCAAGGTGGATGCTTGATTGTGTGTGCTATGGAGGAGGAAGGTGTGTGGGGCTCCTTTCCCCTCCCAATACACACACTGGCTCCTGTGGGTCTCAGATATTCTCCTGGCCTCACTGCCCATAGTTAACCAAGGACATTAATGGTAGTTCCGTTTCCCCTGTGAGCTGTCCACTAATTGCCTCTGAGAGCCCTTCCTTCCGCCAGCCTCATCCTTACCTCTTACCTTACCGGATCTCCCCTCTCCCTAGAATGTGGTTAGGATCAGGAGGGACCAGGGCTAGTAGGTCCTCAGGAGAGACTGGTTGATGGGTGGGTATGAAATCGATGCAGGCAACCTGGGTTCTGTTTCTTAGCTGAGGAGAGGTTCAGACCGGAGCCAGGCTCCAGGGTCTGCCTGCTTATCTTTCAGACCTCAAGATGAGTGTCTTCCCCTTGGTTGGGGTGCTTGGCAGGTGGGGGAGGGGAAGAGGCTTCAGGGCAGAAGGCTCAATCGCTTTTATTGACCCCAACTGGGGGATGAAAGGTGATCAATGATGATCGATGGAAATGACAGCCTGAAGCTTGGGGCTGAGAGGGCACCCAGAGAGCAGTGGTCAGCCCTGTCCTTGTGCCTCTTCTAACCCTGGCGGCCTTTCTGTGTCAGACCATCGGTCTTTCCTCAGTACTACCTATCATGCCCTATGAAGGGCCAGATATCCCTGTATACTCCCTGTACGTGGTCCCAGAGGCTAGTGGGGATAGAGGCAAACAAACAGATTCTTCTGGACCACAGTCCACATGAAAAAATGGAGAAAGAGGGACAGGATCAAACCACAGGGCCAGGAATCCTTGTCTCAGGCCTTTGGGTGAAGTTGTCAGGGTGTGCCGAGTGTTCAGGCTAGATCCTCATGGAGAGTGAAAAGGGGTCAGTTGGTCCAGAGAACAGGTGTCAGGTGTCCAGTTTGAAGCCCTCATGTCTCTCGCCTCCACAGGTACCCTTTGGGGAAGTGAGTGTAGTCCGAGACTGGTTGGGAATTGGGGGCTCTGTGCTGACCCCTCCCCAAGAGCACCCTAAGCGCCCAGTGCTGGGACTGGAGTGCCCACAGTCAGAGGTGAGTGGTGCCCGGTTCTGGGGCTTTTTCCGGAACCTCTGTGGACAGCCTGAGGTCTTCTTCCGTCACTGTTTTGTCCACAATCTGTGTCCTCTGCTGTTCCTGGCTCCCAGTGGGCGCAACCTCACCCCTGCTGAGTTGCCTGCCAAGCAGCGAGAACAGGTTCTTGGGCTCTGTGATGCAGCTCTCTGCCGGCAGGTGCAGCTCTTGGGGGTTCGCCTGGTAGTGGGAGTGGGGCGGCTGGCAGAGCAGAGGGCACGGCGGGCTCTGACTGGCCTGATGCCTGAGGTCCAGGTGGAGGGGCTCCTGCACCCCTCACCTCGGAGCCCACAGGCTAACAAGGGTTGGGAGCCAGTGGCCAAGGAGAGACTAAATGAGCTGGGGCTACTGCCACTGCTGACAAAATGAGTGCCCCTGGGGCCTGGCAGAGGGACACATTCAAGGCCCCCAAGTCCTTGGGCAAGCAGATGACTGCACACCTGATGGAGTGGAGCAAGAAGGTCCTCCTCGGCTGCCTGGTTGCTGGGACCTGCCGTGGCAGTTTTGACACTACTCCGACATGCCCTACTGATTCCTGCTTTCTTCCCCTTCCTTTGAGCATTGCCTCTTTGGTCCTGTGATACCTAACTCCACAGAGAGGCAGCACCTGCAAACTGCTTACTTCACTGTTTTGGGAGCCTCTGTTCAGCTGAGCATGACCTCCAAGGTCATATTTACTGTTTTAGAGAAAAGATCGTGCCAGGATTCTCACCCATTCTCATATGAAAGTGTCCTTCAGCTGACCCTTTTCTCACAGGGACCCGGACAAAGCATGGGACATGGGTATTAAGAATGAACTTATGGAAGACTGAGGCTGAATCAGAGAGAGAAAGAATTGAGTGTGGCAGAGTGGGAAAGGCCCGAAGACCTTTTGAGATTTGTGAACTTTGTGACTTTGGACATGTTGATTAACCTCTCCAAGTCTCAGGATCCTCATCTGTAGAGTGGGGATCCCTGCCTCATGGGGTTGGTGTGGGGATTAACTGATATAACACTTAAAAGTGCCTTGTGTGGTGCCTGGCACATGGATGCTCATTACACCTCTTTTTTCTTGTCTCTGGGTTGGGGAGCCACTGCACTATGAGGGAAGTGCTCCCCCTTGAAGGCCTTGCTGAGCAGGCGGGGGTGGGGGAGATGTCTCTGCCTCCACCTGTGGCCTGGGTGAGGGCAGATTTACTCTGCCAGAGGTGGACCAATGGCTTTATGAAAAATCCAGCCTGTGATTTTTCAGTCTAAGCATTAAAAGCTCCTAAATCCTTTTGTGTTGGTGCTTTTTTCCTCTCCTGCATGTCAGGGGTGGGAGGTGGTAGTTTAGATTTTCCCTTCTTACCTCTTTACTGTTTGCAAAGGGTTCTCTTGGGTGGCTGGGGATGATGTAAACAGATCTCCAATTGCCTTTCCAAAGCAGTGGGGTCTCTGTTAGGGGTCTGTCCAGTGGCTTGTCTGCTATTTAGGGCACTCTGGGGAGCAGGTGATGGGTGGGTGGGAGCCTGGTATCTCCAGCTAATTTATTTTTTATGTCTGTTGCATGGCTGGTTGCTGTGCCCATTTGGTAAGTGTTGGGAAAATGAATCAAGTTGGGAGCAGAGAAAGTCTTAAGACCACCTTAATGAGAAACACACAGACTCTCCTGGGACAGGTCATCTCTAGCTTTTAAAATTAAGATTTTTAGTATAAGTGTCTGAGTCCCTCCCCCATTCTCCCCATCCCACGTTGTTTAATAAAGAATTTGATTGGTCTTTGTCCTTGGTTCTTTGGAGGGAACCTCTAAATCCTTGGAATTTCCCAAGCTATAGGAGTTTCTTTGTTATTCATCGTGGGTCCCTCAGACCACACCTGAGTTTATGATGAAGTTTGACTAACGATGAGAGTGACACTGCCAGAAAGACCAACCATGTGATTAGAGGGTTGGGGCTTTGAGCCAGGTGATATCAGCTTCCTGGATGGAGAGAGGGGTTAGAGATTGAGTTCAACCATGTGGTCAATGATAGCTACATAACGAAACCGTAATAAAAACTCTAGGCACTGAGGCTTTGGTGAGCTTCCTGGTTGGTGGACACATGGAGGTGTGTGTGTGTGTGGTGATGTGTCATGATTCTGTGGGGAAAGGGCATGGAAAGTGTGTTTGGGACCCTCCCAGATCTTGCCTTAAATGTCTGTTCATTGGCTGGTCTTGATTGGTATCCTTTATGATAAACTGTAATTGTAAGTAGAGTGCTTTACTCTGTTCTGTGAGTCATTCTCGCAAATTATTGAACCTGGGGGGCTCATGGGGATCCCTGAATTTGTATCCACTTAGAAGTGTAGGTGGCCTGGAGACCCCCAAACTTGCAGCTGGCATCTGAAATGAGGACAGTCTTATTAGGAACTTTGCCCTTAAGTCTGTGGAGTATGGGCTAACCCTGGCAGTTAGCATCAGAATTGGATTACAGTTTTGCATGCCCACATGCCTTAGATGTCTTTTCCTCTCTCTGCTGTCAGTGCTTTAGTGGTAAGTAGTCATTGCCCCATGTTGCAGAGCACTGGATTATGCACTGTGTAATAATGTCACGGAGATAGAAGCCATGGTTCCCTTATGTATTTAGCTGAGGCAGTCAGGAAATCTCTCCAGAGGAGGTGGCATTTCAGGTGGATGTAGAGATAGGGAAAGTTTTGCAGAACTTAGAGAAGAGTATTTTTATGTTCAAGGGGTGGTAAGTAGATTAGCATTGACTTGACCCAGTTGGGAGGAAAAGCTGGAGAGGGAAGTTGCGCACAGCTTATGAAGGTTCTTGAATGCTGGACTAATCTTAGAGAATTTAAAGTCCAGTTGAGGAAGGGAGATGTACAGAAAACACCCAATAATAAGTGGAAACCCACAGATGGCAGAGTCACTATTCTTGGGGTGGGTCTTGTCAGGTAGAGGCTAATTAGGGTCCTGGCACTGCCCTTTCCCAAGGGCATTGTATTAGTTGCTGCCATAACAAAAATACCACAGATTGGGTGGCTTAAACAACAGAAATTTATTTTCTCACAGTTCTGGAGCTGGAATTCCAAAATACAGATGTCTGCAGGTTTGGTTTCTCCTAAGGCCTCTCTCCTTGGCTTGTTGATGGCCGCCTTCTCCGTGTGTCCTCCCATGGCCTGTTCTCTGTGTGTGCACCTCCCTGGTAACTCTCTTCTCATTTTATATTTTTGTTGATTTTTTAGAGAGAGAGGAAGGGAGAGGGAGAGACATGGATGTGAGAGTGGAACAACGATTGGCTGCCTCCTGCATACCCGCCCCCTACCAGGGATTGAGCCCATGCAACCTGGGCATATGCCCTGATCGGAATTGAACCAGCAACCTTTCAATGGACAATGCCCAACCAACAGAGCCACCCTGGCCTGTCATATTGGATTAGGGTCCCACTCCATTTAATCTTAATTATCTCTTTAAAAGCCCNTACATTGAGTCCTGATGTCTCCTTTGGCTCCTCCGGGTTGTGACAGTTTCTCAGAATTTCTTTGTTCTTTATGACCTTGACAATCTTGAGGAGGACTGGTTAGGTGTTTTGTACAGCGTTCCTCACTTGAGATTTATCTGATGTTTTTCTCATGATTAGACGGAGGCGATGGGTTTCGGGTGTGTTTTTGTTTTGTTCTGTTCTGTTTTTGAAGACAACAGAGATAAAGTGCTATTTCCGTCACCTCCTATGAAGGGCGGCGCACACCGTCAACCTGACGTATCTCTGTTGATGTTAACCTCGATCACCTGGTCATTCTTACCTTCTATGTTTGGTTTTGAACCAGGTGAATATATTACTATTTAAAATTAAAATGTTAAAAACTGAAGACCTAAATTAGTTTTCCAGGGCTGCCATGACAAAAAAGGTTAAAGACAGCTTCAACAACAGAATTTATTTTCCTACGGCTCTGGAGGCTGGAGGTCCCAGATCCGGGTGCAGGAGGTGCTGGGTTCTTCTGAGGCCTCTCTCTCTGGCTTTCAGATGGTCACCCACTTGCTGGCCCTTCACGTGGTCTTCTCTTCGTGTGTACACATCCCTTGTGTGTCTCTTTTTTATAAGACACCAGTCATATTGGATTAAGGCACACCCATATGACCTCTGTTTAACCTTAATGACTTCTTTAGAGGCCCTATTTCCAAATAGTCACTTTCAGAGGTACAGTAGGGGTTAGGACTTCAACATATGGATCTTGGGGGGACACAATTCAGTCCATAATAGGCACCTAAAGTCATGTCACTGCATTTCCTGTCCCCCACCAATAGTGACCTCTAACAAAAGGGGGTACTCAGAGTGACTTTCTCCTGCCTGGAGGGGTTGAGGCTGGTGAAGTGGCTTAGCTAGCTGATAGGACTTAATCCACCAGACTGGCCCCTTCCCTCCAATTCATTCTAGAGCAGTTTCTTCAGTATAAATAAGAATGTCCCTGGGGAAGAGAAGCTCATTGTTTTCTCCTGAGCCAAAGGGAATGGACACTTCAGCTGCTACGAAAATATTTTAAAACCAAATTGAAGTGATTTGGGATCATCTAGAGTTTTACAATCTGATATAGTAGGCACTAGCCATATGTGGCTGTTTAAAGTGAAATAAAAATTTCAATTCCTCAGTCACTAGCCATATTTCAAGTGGTCAATAGCCACACATGGCTAGTGGCTACTGATTGGATGGCACAGGTAGGGAACAGTCCATCATTGCAGAAAGTTCTACTGGACAGCACTGATCTAGAGATCAGTGGCTTACAACCCTGCCTGTGAATCAATCCACCTGTGGAGGTTTTAAAGAAGACAAGTGTCCCAGCTTCACTTAAGAGATTTTGATTTGGGAGATCTGAAGTGCAACCTTTGTACTATGGACATGCAGCCAAGATTAAGGTAGGATTACACTAGTGCCTTGAAGGCAAGAAGTGGGACTCTTCCTTTCCCCAGTATGTAGCCCCACATCTGGCATGAAGTAGGTGTTTAGGACAAATGTGCAAGTAATGCATGAATCTTGTTTTGGAGACCTACCCCAAGGTGCCCATGCAATAACAAGAGTATCCCTAGACTTTGTTGCCTTTTTCCAGTGACAAAGATTCAAATTCTGGTTCAGAGGAGTGATAGAGGCTTAAAAATCTCACTGCAACATGCACATGTGCGTGAATACACATGCACACACACATACCCACTCAACTGTGCTTTGGGCAGGCAAGAATGGTTCTGAGACTCGGAGGGATGGAGTGTGTTGGGGAAGAAAGAGACTCTTCCTACTCTTTTTTCCCTTACTGACACAGAATGGCTTAAAGAAAGATTGAGTCTTGAGTTTGACCACTGTGTCTTCCTTCATTTTCCTTTCTCAACTCAACAAACATTTATTGATGTCCACTGTGTGCCATTCCCCACGCTGGGCACTGCAGGTGGTGACAGAGGTGAATTAGGTGGTTCTTTGCCCTCACGTTGCTCACTGTCTGGTGCTGGGAGATACAGGCATATAATTATAGTATAAATCAAATGGAAAATGTGCTGTGAACAAGTTCTAAATGCAGCGTTCTGGGCACACTGACTGAGGAAGTGATTAGCCCTCAGAATGTGGCTAGGAGGTATGTGTGCCTGAGATGGAGCGGCGATTGGAGAGTTCTTCTCTCATCACTTGCTCAATCTTGCTACTTTCATGGACTGGCTCTTCAAAAAGGGGGCCACTGTGTCATATCTCTCCAAGAATTTCTCAGCCCTAACTGCAAGAGGATAGAAAACAGGATGAGGGGAGGAGAGCTCCAGGGTCTGGAATTGGCAAGAACCAAGGGTTGGGCGTGGCTCTATGGGAGACAGGAAGTGGGGCTTCCTCTTTGATCTCTTATTCTGTGAACCTCTGGGATGGAAAACTGCAGCAGGCTCTGTCAGGGGATATACAATTGCTGGAGCCAAAAAAGACCAGAAACCCAGCCTGGGTATAACTGGGCAGAGAAAATAAATGGAATGGAGGAAGGGAATAGAGATTGTGGCCCAGCACAGACTAAATCTGGACTCTACAAATATTCTCGTTTAGGAGGATATAGGCCAGCTGTTTTCTATTTTTTCCTAATGCCCCAAAGAAGGAAATAATTTCAATTGGAGCATGAGACACTGAGGTTAGACACATGGATAAACTTCCCAGCTCTGACCATCAGGTGATGGAGAAATAAGTTGCTTTGGGGGAAGCTGAATTTCTTTCTTCTACAGAAGCCTTAATGCCAGCCTGGCCCCAGCCCAAGTTTACCAGTCAAGGTTGAATTATAATGTTTTTGGGGAAACTTTCTCTCC